ATGTGTTAGTAAAACCTCCTGACTTGACATTGTTCACAAATTTTGCGGTTGGTATTTAAATGCTTGTAAAAAAAAAAAGTTGTTAATAAATGATTCTAACTATATAATAAAATTTCCATTTAACACCCGATAATCAAGTTGTTAAACAAAACTTAGATACCTTCATTACTGATATCTGGTGTGTAATCTACTACTGGTATGAGTGCTACTGTAATCTACAATAGTACTTAGTACACGTAATCCACAACTAATATCTGGTATTACTCTAATCTACTGACTTAAATGAACTTTTGCTACTGAATATGCAAGAACATCTTGATAAAAGTATGTATATGTTGTCGCTCCACTTTAGTTTCTTTCATAGCTGACTTATCAATATTAATAAACTGAAATTTAATGGTTTATATTCCACCACGATCTAGCTTAAGACTCCTGCTATTAGACTAGTGCTTTTCTTGATCCAAAGTATATGTATCTTGCTTAGCTTATATTCCCTTTTACAAATGACTTTATACGATTTAGTCTAGAACTTTTCAACTGAACTTTAGATAAAGGTATGTATAGGTTTTTTATTTAGTTTGAAGTTTCTTCGTTACAAACGACTTTGTGAATTGAATAAGCTAACGCGTTAAGGGTTATGTGATAAAGTGCAACTATGATTTAGTTTAGAAGTTTGTTGGTAAAGTGGGTGTACGTTTTTCTTGTTACAGTAAAAAGAACCAACTTATTTGTTTTTTTCTATAGATATATTTATTTTTTTTATTACTGATGACGCGTTATATACAATGTTTAAGAATGACGATATTGTATATGCAAAATATGCATAGTATGAGCGCAACCAGAGAAAAATTTGACATCGGGCTTTCAATTATATTTGGTACTGGATACAATTAGTCTAATTTATTAAAGGTTGTGTCAGGTACAAAATATAATTGAAAGTCCAATGATAAACATTTCTGTAGTAGTGCTTATATACAAATTAAATCTGTTAGTTGATTGGCTGATTTTTAAATTATATAATACAGTTATAAATTTGATTTATAATCTATGGCTACAAATTAATTAGTTTTTATTCTATTATTAAAAAACTTTATATTAACCAAAATTGTAACTTGGTTCTTAAAAACTAGGCTCCAAAACTAGGTTTCAAAGTTCTGAACCTAAGAACTTTACCATCACTAGTTATTACCGATGTTCTGACATTCGTTGTAGATATCTGTCTACTTTGAGTCGATGTTGATATTAATAGTAGGTATAAAAGAACTAGTACCTGCGCTTTAAATACACCAAATGTGTTGTTTCTTAGCGGTCATGAAAATGGTAATCGGTTAACTATAATTATTAAGCGTAGGTGATATCACAAAATAATTTATGAATTGTGTGTCAAAACCATGTGATGAGCCAACGGTCACATGAGAAGTTGCATTTTGTGTATTTTGCATGTTAATTTCGTAAAGTTGAGACCATAATTGTCGGTTTGATGCTTCGATCCTGACTATCTTACTTTCAGGTGATGAGTCGGTCAAAGTTGACTGGTTATTATTGCTTGTATCATTTGTTAGTGAAGTTACACACTTCCTTTTTTTGTCGCTAAAAATTTACATTTAATTATTAGTTTACATTTACATGGAAGAAATTGTAACAGACTGGCTTAGAGACTTCATTATTAGTTATGCTATATTAAAAAATGACTTTTTTGATGATTATCTTCAAAAGAATTGATTGTATTTGAGCCTTCATTTACATCATAATCTTCATCAGAAAGTTCTTCATCAGTATGTATATCTATGTTATTGGTAATAAATTCAACATATATTTCTGATATGTTCTTAATCGTAGCTAAAATTTCGTTTATTGCTGGGCGCATGTCCAGATCAGAAGACCAGTATTTTTCA